ACTCGAGGGTGAAGCTAAAAGGTATTGGATTAGGGTCAGGATACTGAAGCTTAAAGTCTGGAGGACACAGAGCCGGGAGGCTGGTGCAATGAACTAAGTTAAAGTTTTGCTCCCCAGAGTTGGAGAATATTCTGAGACAAGGTCAGGTTAGCAGAGGTCAGGTTTACTGGGCATGTTAGCAGTTAGGTGGAATTGTTATCCATGATGTACTTACTATCCAGTGTTTAGGGGAGGAGGGAACTGGAAAGCTGCAGCTGGAGTTTGGGTTCTTGGCCAGTAAATGTTTGGATGGGGTGCAGAGCTTCCTAAGGGCTCTGATTTGAGTCACAAAGCCTGGGACTAGTGGGAGGGCTTTGTAGGCAGGGTACATCCAATCTCTTTCTTATCTACTTCCTTTCCCAATACTCCTCAGGCCCTAATCCCCTGGACGAGAAACCCAGAGCTGGCTGGCAAGCCCTTTACAGTGAGCAAGATGGGCACCTTGGACCGCCTCCAGCCCTATCTGACCACCACTGTACGTGACTTCTCCAGGTGAGCCTATGGCCTGCAGGTTCTGGTGTAGGAGCAGCCCCTCTCCTTGGCAGTTTCAACTGCAGATACAAGAGCCACAGTACTGACCCAAGCTGAGGTCTTCAGCTCAAGATCCAGAGCCTCCTCCAAGGCAGTAAGGGCCTATTCCCAGGCCCTAGAGGCCCCTGGAATCCCAACTCTACTGCTCTTGGTCCTACTCACCCGCTGCCCCACCCACAGGAAGGAGTTGCCTGGATACCCTGATCAAGAAACAATGACTTGCTGGAAATGGAAGTCACAGGCCTCCTGCCATCTTGAGCTGCATGGCGGTCAACTGAAAGGGCGCCTAGCCCGTGCACGCCCAGCGCCACCAGCTGTGCCATACCGGGGTGCCCTGCCTCTGACCCAAGAATCTTATGGACCCCCAGCGCACCCACTCCGCAGGCTGGATCGCTTTTGCCCACTAGTGGCACCCTGGAGATGCCCCCACCCAAAGCCAGTGCCTGGTATCTCCAGCGTGCCCAAGGCCTACTGCACTGAAAACTCCCGCTATGGGAGTGCCAGGGCAGAGCTGGTGTGAGCATGTGCGCCCCGCCCACCAGGCAGACATTCATTACAGAATTGGATTTGTGGGTGGGTCAACCTGGGCATACCCCATGCTCCTCCAGGCTGAGCTTACTGATCAAGGAGTTTTACAGTTAAAACCACACCCATTTCTGGACCCAAGCATCCTGATTAGGGAGTTGGGTGAGGGGTGGTTGCTCCACCTCTGGCAGTGTCTGGATATAGTAAATTCAGAGGTCCACTGGGCATGGAGGGACACTAACACTGAAGCTGTTCTTTCCTAGAAGGTTGCACCGAGGATCGAGAGTGAGAATACTCCCCTTTCCCCTCCCATGATGAGGTGAAGGACCTAAGGACCCTTCCTGCTCTTCCAAGGTTGGCTAGGCTCAGACATCTGGGCTGAGTGTGGGGCCAATTACCGTGACACTAGAGCTGGTCCCTTGCTTCCCTGACCTTGTCTGCCTCTCGCCCCCAAAGAGATTAGTGTCTAGGTTACCCAAGCCTACAGCTGCTGCTTGGTGGCCTTGCCACCCCCACAACCCGCAGGTATAAAATCAGGTGGCCAAGGTAGGGAAGACATCAAGAATGGAGAGGCTCCAGGTAAGAGAGAAGGGTCCAGGGCATCTCCCAGTTCCACCAGACTCTTAACTGGTACAGATGGGCAGCCCTGTGGCCTGTGGAGGGAGGTGGTGTCCTAGCTGGTGGACTCAAGCAGGACAGAAATGAATCTGATAGCAGGTGATGGGTCCTAAGGCCAGGATTTATATTATACCCTGGTCCAGAGTCTGGGAGGGAAAACCCAGAGCAAGACTGAGGCACTGACTATGTCCAGGGGCTGTTGCTATGGCTGCTGCTGAGCCCCAGTGTGGTGTGGGCTTCCAGGGCCCCCCTACGGCCACTGTGCCGGCCTGTCAACGCAACCCTGGCTGCAGAGAATGAAGTCTGCCCAGTCTGCATCACCTTCACCACCAGCATCTGTGCCGGCTACTGTCCTAGTATGGTGAGCTCACCAAATGGGCTGGGACCTCACTTGTGACACAAAGTACTGTCACTTCAGCTAGACCCAAGACAGGAGGTGGCAGTGGGGTCAAAAGGGATGGTACCTGGGCAGGGGTCATAGCCACTGTGGGGTTTGGAGGGTCAGGTGGACAGGAGAACTCATAATTGCTTATCTCCCTGGGCTCCAGGTCCGAGTATTGCCGGCTGCCCTGCCTCCTGTGCCCCAGCCCGTGTGCACATACCGTGAGCTACACTTCGCATCTGTCCGCCTCCCTGGCTGCCCACCTGGGGTGGACCCCATGGTCTCCTTCCCTGTGGCCCTCAGCTGCCGTTCTGGACCCTGCCGTCTCAGTAGCTCTGACTGTGGGGGTCCCAGGGCTCAACCATTGGCCTGTGACCTCCCCCACCTCCCTGGCCTCCTCTTCCTGTGAAGCCCACCCCCTAAAGCCTCTATCTCAAGGAGCTTGCAGGTGTTCCAACCTTCCCTCCCAATAAAGGCTTTACAAGTGCACCAGGGTGTCTTCTGTGGGCTCTGAGGACACACAGCAGGGCTCCAGCTGTTTACAACCATTTTATACAGAGTCACAGTGTCAGAACTTGTAGAAAACAAGGTAGGAAGGGTTGGGGTGGAGCTTCAGCTCAGGAGGTATCCATTGTTTCGCCTTCTGTGGAGAGAGGAAGCCAGGCATGAGTGAGGTCCAGGGTGCTCCCATGTGGCCCTCTCCCGCAGTGGCAGCAGGCTGGGAGGGATACTCACTGAGCTCGTTGAAGAGGAAGGCATCTTGGTATTCCTTCATGTACTGCGTGGAGCGGGATTCGTCCAGGAAGAGGGAGTATACTCGTTTGATGTCGTCTACCTGCACCTCTGTGCCCTGGGGACAAGTGGGACTCAGCTCATGTCAGCTTAGGGTCATGGGTCTCCCCTCCCCCGCCACTTTTTCCTCTAAGATTGCTGTGGTTCTCAGTCCCCACCCAATACCCATGTGCCATGGTCTGTAGGCTACCCCAGGGTCATCCCTTCAGTCCTCCAGGCTAACTTGCTAGCTTACCTTTCGTTTCCGGCACACCAGACTGGCTGCTGTGATGAGCTGGATGGCATAGCGCAGGGAGGTCTCTAGCCCAATGCGGGTCAGCACTGTGTAGGCGTCCTCACTCATCTCCACATCTTCCTCCTCACAGCTGTGGGCAGGCAGGCCTCAGCCAGACAGAATGGCACATCACCCCACCCATCCCCCCAAAGACACGTGACACATGCCTCAGAACCACATATGAGGGGCTCCCAACCCTACCCCCAGAACTCCCCCACTGGTAGGATGCCATACTGGTCTTCTCAGATGCAGAGGCCTAGGTGAATCCCTCCCATCCAATGTGTGTCCCTATAAAGGGGCCAGGGGTGCCCCACCGGATGCGTAGAATCTGCTTGGTGTCCTTCTCACTGTAGGGTGATGTTGACACAATGAGCAAGCGGTCTAGAAGGTCAATGGGGATGCCATGGGGACTTTGGTAGCTGGTGCCTCGGATCCTGGGGGTCAGGGAAGATTGTTAATGGATGCTCCTGGAAACCATGACAGCCATCAGTCCACTTGGGAGCTGAATAACTAACTATATGAGCACAGTCTCTTATCACCTGTAAGCACAGTCCTCCCCAGTAGTGCCAGTGGCTCTCCTGTACCCTGCTGCACAGGCAATTCTTGGTGGGCAATGGGACCCATAACAATTTGTTCCAGTCATAGGCAGTTTAGCCACAAATATGATGCTGTTCTCCAGGAAGGTGGCTCAGGACAGCTGCCAGACTCCAAACTAGAGTCCAAGAACTAGTGCACTTCCGGGACTGGGGATTGCAGGTGAACGTCATGTGACAAAGGGATTAGAAGCAGCCACCTCCCTCAGAGACCTGAGGACTGGCTCCTCTGTAGGCACTGGTCTAAAGATGCCTCTCCTCTCACCCTGCCACCTTAAACCTATGGCCTTAGCAAGTCGATGAGTTTTGCTGGCCTAAGTGGGAGCGATGGAATGGGGTGAAGAGCAGAGCAGGTGAGGTTGCCAGGCCACAGCCTGTTGTCTACCCTCTACCTTTCTCATAACCACATATAACTCCAGTTCCAGAGGGTACGGCACACTCTTGTGGCATCTGTGCAGACCACATGCATGTGTGCATATATATAAACACACACAAAAGTGAGATGCTTAAGAACACATACTGTTCTTACAAAGGACCCCAGGTGGGCTCCCAGTACCCACAATGGGTAGCTGCTCATAACTGTTTGTCAATTTACCTGCAGGGAACCTGACATACTGTTCTGGACTCTGCACACACCTGAACTCACACTTACACATTACCCCCCGCCTACATACGCATCACTCTTTAAAAAAACGGGAGATGGATGCCATGGAAAAACATGAGACAGGCTAATATGCTTGATGAAGCTCATGACCCACCACCAGCGGGAGTCTGGCACCCTGGGTCCTGTCCCTCCTGGGTCCCCAAACTCCAGCCCTCTTAACCTGGGAACCATTGCTTCAGACCTGTTTTTTGTTTGTTTGTTTGTTTGTTTGTTTTTGGGCGGGGGACAGGGTTTCTCTGTGGCTTTGGAGGCTGTCCTGGAACTCTGTAGACCAGGCTGGTCTCCAACTCACAGAGCTCCACTGTCTCTTCTTCCTGATTTTTTTTTTTTTTTTTTTTTTTTTTTTTTTTTTTTTAAAAAAAAGGGTCTCATGTAGCCCAGACTAGCATAGAACTCAAAATCCCCGTTTCAGCCTACATAGTATTAGGACTACTGGTGGAGTGGGTGCCACCATGCCCAGAACTCCACAGCATCTTTGGATCAAAACTACTAGTCTGAGTGACTTGCCTGATCCCAGCAGTTTGTGACATGTCTAACAGATGCCCCTGTGCTCAGCACAGGGTGATTTCCTGGGGTATCTTTGGGTGTCTTGGTCAACAGTTCTGAACGACAAGTGGCCCAGGATTGTGGGGGCAACATACAGGGCAAACTTCAGAAGGAGGTGCTAGGTTAA